ACATATAACTCTTAAAGAGAAAAAAAAAAATGGGTAAAAGAGTCCCTATCAGGAAACCATCAGGAGCAAAGCATCAGAAAAGACAAGCGTGCCCTTTAACCACAACCCAACATGATGCACGCTGCTCATCCATTGGAAGGCAGCACACTGGGAACACTTCCCTTGTGGCTTCATGCCTGCACTAAGCACACGTTTAGTACCTGAGGACAAGGTTATCCTTTATAACAGGGGTCCTCAAACTTTTTAAACAGGGGGCCAGTTTACTGTCTCTCAGACCGTTGGAGGGCCGGACTATAGTTTTTTTAAAAAAAACTATGAACAAATTCCTATGCACACTGCACATATCTTATTTTGCAGTAAAAAAACAAAACGGGAACAAATACAATATTTGTATTTGCATGTGGCCCGCGGGCCGTAGTTTGAGGACCCCTGCATTATAAAGTTACCACAGACAATTTTATCAATGGCTAAAATAAGTCACTTCCCATACGAGGTGATTTGAGAGGCATTAGGGAGAAATCCTTCTGGCCTTAAAACAGTCCATGACCACCCTGTGGAAGCTTCATCCACCTTCTGTGATAATAATGATGATGATAAAAAGCAAAATTTGATTACATCTGTGATGGGCCAGGCATTGCATTTAAATCCTTTGTACGGATTAGCTCATTTAATCATCTCGACAAGCTTATGAGATTTGTTAATAACTATTAACTATTATTACCTCTCTTCTATTGTTAACAACTCAGAAGGGTCATCTGACGGTTACCAGAAGTCAAACTCTGTTAGGAAAAGTATGTGGGCGGAGAAAAGGTACAAATTTCACCTGATTTACAATCCTGACAGCTTCCCCGAGAGCCACATTCATAAGTAGGAAAAAAAAAAAATCTTCCAGTGCACAATAAAAACCTCAGCTTTAAATCAATCCTCCCTTCTTGAAAGTACTCACCATGATGGCTGCCTTGGATTTATATGGCACATTATAGTTCTTAGCAATTTCTATCAGATACTGTTCCACTAAAACCTGGGGTGGACTGTTCACATTTAATTTACACATTAGCTGCAAAATAAAGAACATAACAAGAGTTGGTCTCACACACACACACACTCACACACCTACAAAATAAGAAACAACAAAAGTTTAGGTGATTTTTCATCTCTGCATCATTGCTCTTCATCTGTCTGGTCACTGTTATTTAAGATGTATGATTTTAAAAAGAAATATAACTTAGCGCCCTGGCCGAGGCTAGAGCATCTTGCCGTGCAAAGAAGACTCTAGGACAGGGGTGGGCAAACTTTTTGACTCGAGGGCCACAATGGGTTCTTAAACTGGACCGGAGGGCTGGAACAAAAGCATGGATGGAGTGTTTGTGTGAACTAATATAAATTCAAAGTAAACATCATTACATAAAAGGGTACGGTCTTTTTTTTCAATAGTTTTATTCATTTCAAACGGGCCGGATCTGGCCCATGGGCCGTAGTTTGCCCACGGCTGCTCTAGGGTCTGATTCCCGGTCAGGGCATGTACCCAGGTTGTGGATTTAATCCCCTGTCGGAGCGCATATGGGAAGCAACTGGTAAGATGTTTCTCTCTCACATCAATGTCAATGTTTCTCTCTCACATCTCTCTCCCTCTCCCTTCCTTCTTCTCTATAATCATTGAAAACCATATCCACAGGTGAGGATTTTTTAAAAAAAAGATATATAATTTAGCAACAACAAGGAGGGGCCCTCCTTATAAGACAGCACTTTCCTGGGGTGAAGGAACCTCAAACCAAGTAGAATAAGAGAAAAAAAATAGACATAAAAATATTGTGAATCAAGAATTCTGATTTTATGACAAGTATTTGAATTATGTCAGAGATAATATTCACCATACACAACAACCAGTACAGCAAGATACTAAGGAATCAGAATGGATACCCTGAGTGATGAGAATGTCCAACAGCCTGAAACAACTACTTCAGCCAGGTGCCTGTGTCCAGCTGAATGTCAGTCCTGAATTATGTAAGATGTTCAAAATTTGAAACTTCAAAGTTTCAATAACTTCTTTTGTATTATTAGGCCAGTTGCATTTAGGAAAACGAATGTTTTCTTAATAAAGAATCAGCCAGGTGGTATAGCTCAGTGGTTGAGCATCAACCTATGAACTAGGAAGTCATGGGTTCAATTCCTGGTCAGGGCACATGCCCAGGTTTCAGGGTTTGATCCCCGCCTAGGGGGCGTGCAGGAGGCAGCCAATCAATGATTCTCTCTCACCATTGATGTTTCTATCTCTCTCCTCCCTTCTCTGAAGTCAATAAAAATATATTTTAAAAAATAAAGAATCATCTCAGTTTTATTGACCCTAGTTTCTGTTTTGTTTTTCATCCTCACCTGAGGAGGGAGGATATTTTTTCCATTAATTTTTAGAGAAAGTGGAAGGAAAGGGGAAGGAGGGAAGAGAGCAAGAAACATTGAAGTGAGAGAGACACATCGATTATTTGCCTCCCGCACGCTCCCTGGGGATTGAATATGCAACTGAGGTACATGCCCTTACCTGGGAATTGAACCTGAGATACTTCGGTATGCAGGTCGACACTCTAACCACTGAGTCAAACTGGCCAGGGCTACTCTAATTTTTCTTAATTGAGGTAACATTGGTTACTAACATTATATAAGTTTCAGGTGTAGAACATTATAAATCCACTAGAAGCCCGGTGCACGAAATTTGTGCAGGAGGTGGGATGGGGGGGCAGGGGGTCCCTCAGCCAGGCCTGCACCCTCTCCAATCTGGGACCCCTCGGGGTATGTCTGACTGCCGGTTTAGGCCCCAGGGATCAGGCCTAAATGGGCAGACAGACATCCCTCTCCCAATCCAGACTGCTGACTCCTAACCCCTCTGCCTGCCTGCCTGCCTGATCGCCCCTACCTTGCCTCCCTGCTGGCCTGATTGCCCCTAACCACCTCTGCCTCGGCCCCCAGCCTAAGCTGCAGTCTGGCCTCCCTCTGCTGGAGGCTACCTGGCTAATCAGGGGAAGGCGCCACTCCCATCACCTCACTGCTGCTGCCACTGGTGGCCACCATGGCTGCCTGAGCCTCAGACCAGCCCTAGGCAGCAGCAGCCACCATTTGCAGCTTGCCTGAGCCTCAGGCAGCCGCTGCGGCTTTGTCCGGAAGGATGTCCACCCTAATTAGCAATTACCCTTTTATTAGTATAGATATCTGTATACATTATAGGGTGCTGACCACCAAAAATCTAGTTCTTATCTATCACCATATATTTGAACCCATTTAAAAGATCTGAGTCCCCCCCCCCGCAAAAAAAAATCTTAGCTCCCTAATCCAAGATCTTTATCCAAGTCCCTCTGCCTCCAATGCAAAAATTACTTCTATTATTCTTTCACTCTACACAAAATTATGTGTTCTGAGTTTGCCCAGCTTTTCCCAGACTTCTTGGTCTAGAAAAATGTGCCTCTGGAAGTGGTACTACCCGAGAGCTGACAGTTCCAATCTCAGTAGTTCGGCACAGCTGACCATACTCCTGGCTGTACTTTGCACACAGCTGATCAGATACCTGCAGCAAACCATCACCAAGAAAGAAAGAAAGGCAAAATGCGTCAAGTTATGGCAGATTTGCTTTAGATAAAGAACAACCGAAAGAGCAAAAACCACTTTCATGTTACCTCCCTGGAATGATGTTCTTTTAGCATCAAACAACAATAACAAAATAAGCACTTTGCGTCCTAGCCAGTTTGGATAGAGCATCAGCCTGCGGACCAAAGGGTCCCGAGTTCGATTTCGGTCAAGGGTGCAGGAGGCAACCAATCGTTGTATTTCTCTCACATAATATTTCTCTCTATCATTCCCTCTCTCTGAAAATCAATGAAAAAAAAAAAACCTCAGGTGAGGATTATAATAAAGGCAAATGAGCACTTTGCTTTGTTTTTAAGTATCTGATAAACCTCTAATTCTAAACACCGTATAAATTATGACACCCGTTCCCACATAAAAGAAACTTAATTTCAAGTTTTGTTTTTTTAGGCAAGGTTCCCCCCCTACACACACATTGTCATTACAAACAGTATTTATTTTTCACTTGAAGACTAACAGAAGAAAATACTTTTGGAGGGGGTTATTCTTTAAGAGAGGATAGGATTCCCCAAGTCTAAATGAGTAACATTAGTGATACTCTCACTTACAATCACGGCACATGTAGTTAAAACTCATCAAACTTACTATTTTCAGCTCAGGCACCTCTGACCGGAGTCGAGGAGCTGCCCAGATTAGTGTAGACACAGATTCAGCCAGACCAGAATCCAGTTCCCTAAGCAAAGCACAAAATCATGAAACTCGGGGCTTTCTGCTTCCCTCTTTCACTGCTTCAAAGGTAGTCCATGGACAAAGTCCAAAATATAATGTTATAATAAAATTTTTAAACTGAAATTAGAATATGGACTTCTATGTACATATATGTATGTAAAAGTATATAACACATATACTTGTGTTTATACACACATACATACATATAAATATACATATATAAACTGAAAGGAAATATACCAAAACCAAATCCTCATTCCAGATTTGGTGATCATGGATTCTTTTTGGCTGTATTTTCCAACTTTTCTACTACAAGTTTATATTATATTTTTACAGCTTGTGCGGGGGCCGGGGGGGGGGTGGGAAGGACATCTATTTGGTTTATTTTTAAATGGCTCTTTGGACTGACATATGCTTTTCAAGCAGAGACAAAGTCCCAAAAAGTTAGAGCCATAGGGGGCAGGGAGGCCTTATCACTCCTCTGAGCCTGCGAAACAATGCCAGTTCAATAAGTCTCACTTTGTGGCCTGGATCAAGCTAAACCGGGCCAGCAGCAGGTCACAATACAGCTCCAGGATCTCCATGGCCTCCACGAGGTAGTCTTCCCGTATAATGTGCTCCACTCGGACCCGAGCTCGTTCATCTTTCCCAGCAGCCAGATGGTCAGCGACCTCCTTCCTTGCTTTCTGGGCCTGCTCGGCTGCAGCATAAAGCACACACTTAGAAAAATGAATGTGTTTCAGATAAATGCTAAGCTGCTGTTACACCCATCCTAAGATCAACAAACATTTATTGTGTGTCCAGGTTATAGTTTGTGTTACCAATAGAACCCTGGAAGGTCAAAATTATTCTCTCCTTTAAAAAAAAAAGAATCAACTTAACCCGGCTGTTGTGGCTCAGTGGTTGAGCTTTCATGGTTGGATTCCCGGTCAGGGCACACGCCGGGGTGGCAGGCTCGATCCCTGGTGGGAGGCGTGCCAGGAAACAGCCGATCAATGATTCTCTCTCATCATTGATGTTTCTCTCTTTCTCTCTCTCCTTCTCCCTTCCTCTCTGGAAATCAATAAAAATATTTTTTTTAAAAAGAAATCAATTTAGATAAGACAAATTATTTAATTAAATAATTTGCTTTATTTATCTCAAATCACTCAGGTACTTCTTGTTTAAAGTTCTTCATTTGTAAGAAGAGTATAAAACTTATCTGGATAATAATATGTATCACTGGATTATCAGGATCAAATAAAAGAATATGTGAGCATGCATTTCAAAATTCACAAGTTCTGTGGATGTCATCAATGTCCTCTTCATTGTTCATGGTAACAAAAGGGGAACCACTGGATTTGGCTAAATTTCATTTATTTGGGGTACTTTCCTTAGGCCCCTATTACCTAAATAATGCCCAAATACCCGCTGCCAAGATTTGGCTAAGTAATGCCTAAAAATCAATTTGAAAGTTTGAGTAGCTACTACCTCTCTACCAATAAATTATACAGGGTGTTCCAAAAAATGTATATACACTTTGACAGCTGATAGCTCAATTTTGAAATGAAATGTATTTTAATAAACTCAGTCTTTATACTTTCTCAATACATTTTTGGGGACACCCTAGATTTCTGGGGGCACTCAGAAAACTGCATTTATATGCAATACTTATTTCACTGGAATCCTCCTCATAATCAGAAATCATCAGTTTTTCTACTTATCGAGGGGTTAACCACTCATGTGACCCACTGGAATGAGGAGAGAGCAAAAGGCAACAGAAAATACTAGTAAGTTGGACTTAAAGATAGAAGATTTTTTAAAAAAAGAGGATAACATGTATTACCTCTATGCATGAGTGTAATGCACTTGAGCTGTCACTTGATGGAAGAAATGGCGTGGGTGGTGGTGATATTTGAAAAAGGATAAGGAACCGAAACCGGTTTGGCTCAGTGGATAGAGCGTTGGCCTACGGACTGAAGGGTCCCAGGTTCGATTCTGGTCAAGGGCATGTACCTGGGTTGCGGGCACATCCCCAGTGGGGGATGTGCAGGAGGTGGCTGGCTGATCGATGTTTCTCTCTCATTGATGTTTCTCTCTCATCGATGTTTCTGACTCTCTATCTCTCTCCCTTCTCCTCTGTAAAAAATCAATAAAATATATTTTTTTTAAAAAAGAAAAAGGATAAGGAATCCTTTTCAGAAAAATGTGCCTGGGAGTTCAAACTTCATAGCTACTGCACATTTGAAAAGGTTTGACTATATAAAGTTCTCTGCCTCGGTGGAGAGAAGTCCAGGAATCGGGATATTGTTTTACATTTTAAACCTTTGGAAACATATTTCAAAAATTAATTTTTTTTTCCAGAGGCATGGATGCATAGAACAGACTGACAGGTCTCAGAGGGGAGGGGAGGGAAGAGATTAACCAAAGAACATACATGCATAGCCCGTGGACACAGGCAATATTGTGGTGAAGACCTGGGGAGGGGGAGGGACTGGGTAAAGGGGAAAAAGGGGGAGGGAGGGAGGACATCTGTAATACTGTCAACAATAAATTTTAAGAATGTAAACTTTTCATTTTGAGATCATTGCAGAGTCACTTGAAGTTTGTAAGAAGTAATACGGAGAGGCCCCCGGGTACACGTGACTGAGTTTTCTCCAGTGATAACATCTTGCAAAACCAAGACAGCAATATTGATAGAGTCAAGATACAGAGCTGACACTGGAAATTTTTTTAATGATTTGATCACTGTAATAATCATTCCCACATTCACCCCAGTCAGAAACATTATTTTAATTCTGAAGTTGGTGTTTCCCTTGCGTCTAAGCTACAAGGGCCCTTCCTTTGCCTCTGTAACATGTTTCCTGAGTCCATTTCTTCTACATTTCTACAGCTCACTTCTACCTCTGTGACTTTCTAAATAAACTTTCTCTTACAGTTTGAAAACAAATAAATTCCAAAGTCGGATAGTAAGGTCTTAGGAGGTATATCAGCCGGCGCACTGGAGTTGAGGGGAGATTGCACAGTGATCGGAGAGGCAGCTGGCTGGCCTGCCTGGAGTATTACTCACTTTTCTTTCTTTCCAGGAGTTTTAGGCGATTGACAACCAGTTGCAAGTTGACCCGAAGGCGATCAGCTTTGAAGACAGAGCCGAACATGATTTCACCACAAGGCACAGCAACTCTGAGCAAGTTTCCCAGAGAAAGAGAGAGTTTATCAGTGTCATGGGAGCTCCAGTTTCTCAACATCCACTTTATTCATTCAACAAGCCCCATGGAATGAATTCCTGACTGCTCGGTAATGGCCTGGCTGCACTTGCTTCTCCGTGGACCCATTCCACCCACATGACTCCTGCCAATCAAATAGGGGTTTACGTTTCCTCCAATTTATTCCAGTCGTCAGTGTTTTTGCTGGAACTTTTGAGAGTTCTGCAGGAAGTTTCTGACAAACATGAAAGTCTTTGGCAAGTGTCTATGGAAGCAGACAAAAACGTGTGATTCCCCTCCCCACAGGACATATTACTCACTTACGGAGAAATTGTAAGTTCTCCTTCTAAATAAAATATTAATGAATTTGAAAGGGAAATCCCCATAGGAAGAGATCACATAGCATTAAAAGCACATGGGAATGAGGACATAGAATTGTTCAGAGAACTAGATAAAACACAAGCTTAAACATGGCACGTTTCCATATTTGGACATCTAATGCCAGGCACCAACATGTTCCTAGGGAAAGCTAAAATCCCCTCAGTATCTCAATAATTTCAATACATGCTTGAGGCTAGTTGTTGTCTTCTGCCACTGGCATGCTAGCATGAATCTCCTTTCCTAACATGACACCTGTACATACTAAAACATACAAGCAGGAAGATGCGACAGTATGAAAAATGCCACCTCCTCCCCTTGTTATGACAACACATGGTTTCCCAAGTTACAAGTACTTCTCTCTGGTTTGATCCCTTAACGTCAAAAAACAAAACACCAAAAATAAAACCAAACTGGGATAATGGTCTGAGCTTTCCATGCCTGTGGTACAGGTCTAGAAAAACCACAAAGAGGAAACAGGCAACACGGAGAGCTGGTTTGAAACTCCTGCCTGCTCAGGGAGCAAAACCAGCCCGGCAGGGTTTTGTCGTTATTTTCCTACCAACAGGGTAGCTGAGGCTCTCCCATCACACAAATTCAATCTGCGCACATCGCAGGGATTCAATATGAATCTAGGGGAAGCGAAGAGGTGGAAAAAACATTGCAGTTTAATTCTCCAGTCCCCAGGTATCCCAAATACCTTTTAAAATCTCCTTTCAGTTCATCAGTTCTTCAAACTCTGTGGGGGAAGGAAAAAAAAACTTGGTGAAATAAAACGAAAGACTCTCAGATGAGATTGAGAACAGATAGCGTGCAGGTTAACTAGGTAAGAGTACAAATGAGGAAATGGGAGCAAAGGAACTAGCAAGGAAGGTCTCCCGGTGTGGGATATCTTTGCGAAATTTCATTCAACAGCTATCTGTTGAGCCAGTTACAGTGTTTAAGACCCCAGGTTTACTTAATAGAAATAACTTACATAAAGAATTATCCAGATATCAGAGAATAATACAGATTTTTAGAGAGATCAGGCAACTTTTGGTTATTTGGTTATTTCAGTGTCTTAAGTCTAAAAACTATGTTAGTTTACTTATCACTACTATTCCTGTTAAACGGACACTATGGAGCTTCCTACCATCAATATGTACGACCAAAGAAATCAGGATTGCTTGGAGTAAAGAATTCTAAAACAGGATACAGCAGAGAGATGACCCACCCTTTTGCGACTGCAGCACCAAACCAGGAAATCACCTGTGTTTCACCAATCAGAACATCCTGTTTTTTTTTTACCAGACATGCCTTTACACCACGTAATTGTAATTAATGGCTGGTAGTCAAAATTTTTTTTTTTTGCTTGCGTCTACCCGTGTCTGCTCTTTCAACTTGTCTGAAAAACAGACCTTGGAGTGTGTATCTTGATCTGGGAAAAATGAGTTACCCTTGAATACACCTGGATGGTTCAAGGAGGTCTGTTTTATAATCTTAATGCCAGTTTAGTGAGCTAAGCAATGAACCTAGAAACCAGAATGCCAGCTAGTGCTAAAACGGAATCACTGAGTGACCACAGGACTTCCTTCTTGGCCAAACTGAGGGAGATGACTATCATGAATAATATTAATATTCATGAAGCAAAGCCCTCTGATTTAGATGGCTACACATCAGTAGCTTCACTATGTTTTACCCATGGGTACAAGGTGTGTGTGTGTGTGTGTGTGTGTGTGTGTGCAGTTCAATAATTTTGATGATTCTTTGTCCCCATCAAGGTGAGAAAATATTGAAATTGAGATCTAAGGATTCCCTTGAAAGAATCTTAAAGGTCATACACTTTATTTGTATTTCTTTATTTTTATTTTAACTTATTTTAATATTTGTAAGGTAATATTTTCATTAAAAATCCAAAGAATAACGTAAGTTCTTTTTGTTCCTTTCGGCCACCATCCAATTCCACTTTCCTCTCCCAAAATAACCAGCATTAGCTAGTTGTTACACATCCTTCCACTCCTTTTCTATACAGATACCTATGCAACTATAATGTTATGTCTTTTAACATTAAATACATAATATTGCACTGTACATGTTTGCGTGTTTTTTTTAACTTAAAATTTTTGGAGCTCTTCTATCTACATTTTACTCCCACCCCTTCATTTAATTTAAGCTTCTCATTTTGCAGAAGTGCAAACCCAAGTCAAGTAGTAAAATGACTTTCCTAAGGGACCAGGGCACAGTCAGTACTTTTTAAATCAGCCAAAAAGCAATGATTATTTATTGAACAAAGTTTGCAGAGACTGCAAGGTGAAAAATAAACTCAGAATCCAATGTCTCTCCAACAGGTAAACGTATTTTTTTCTCAGTTTAGTTTGTTTTTGTCTGTATGCAGAAGTACTTTTTTTTTTGCATAGATGTATTGTAATTGAAGCACAAATTCAAATGGTGTCCATTTTATTTTAGTTAAGTTAATCAGAAGTACATGTTACTATGAAGTTGACTAGTAGTTAATTGGCAATTGAAGGATGACCTAACATTGCATCACATAGTCAAGCCCTCTTCCATTAAACTAAGCTGCTCTCCATTGTACTAAACCCCTTCCTCTCATTTCTCACAAATCTCCCATTGCTTGTTTCACTTTCCCCCTAGGTTCCCTCAGAGAGGTTTCTGAAGTCTTTTTTTCTTAATATAATTTTATTGATTTCGGAGAGGAAGGGAGAGGGAGAGAGAAATAGAAATATCAATGATGAGAGAGAATCATTGATGGTGCCACCTCCTGCACGCTCCCTACTGGGCATGGAGCCTGCAAGCCAGGCATGTGCCCTTAAAGAGGGGTTGCAGGCTCCATCCCCGGGGGAGGGCTGCAGGGGGTAGCCGATCAATGATTCTCTCTCATCATTGATTGATGTTTCTCTCTCATTCTCCCTTCCTCTCTGAAATCAATAAAAATATATTTTAAAAAAGAAAGAAAAGAAAAGAAATCAGGCCCAGAAAGCCCGGGATCGCCAATGGCCACACCCCAGGATTCAGCTCAGGAACCCCGAATTTCCTGGAGTAGCAAGACTGCGGGGTCATTGTGGGGTCAAGCTGAGGGGCCGGCCCAGCCCCGTTCACGTGACCCCGCCCCCTGGGGAAGATTTCATTTCCCTTCGGAGCGGGCGTGGAGGTGACAGGCAGATGGCCAGCCCCCTCCCGTCTG